CTGACAGCAGGGCAGTGCCATGGCTGTGCTGCCCATCCCTGCCAGTACCTCCAGGTGGTTGGGCAAGAGTTTGACCATCACTTCTTGTCATAGTGGGTGTGGGTGTCACTGCCAGGAGCCTGGCACAAAGCTGCAGAAAATAGTGGTAATGGATTTATATAAATAATAAATAAAGCCAACTGATTTATTGGCATGTTCTAGCCAAGCAATTAATTCTGCTTTTGGGAGGCAGAACCAAAGCAGAAAACATGTCATAACGCCAGATCAGAGCTGATAATGTATTCCTCCCTTCCTCAGTTCTCCACTAGCACGGATCAGCCTATTAAGGAATCATCTCCCAGAGCACAGGCCGGCTCCAGGAGGATCCCCAGCAGCTGCAGAGCCCAGCCCATATGGAGACAGAGCCAGAACCACACATGTTGGGATGGAGGGAGGGAGGGAGGGGAGGTGGGGGACTGCTCACCCAGCCACTGTGCTCCTGAGGGGCCCAGCATGGAGCTGGGAGGTCGGTGCTCTGAGCATGTTTTTTGCCATATTGCTTTGAGACACATTACTGCACAGATAGCTCTTAAGATAACAGGTCCTAAATGTAATACAGGACTGTGCTGTTTTACCCAGCGCTGTTCCTTGGTGGTATCCCACGTGGGCTGCCACATGGCACATCCCACACTGGAGGCAGCTGCAGCTTCTCAGGGAAAGGCTCACAGAGGCTTCTGATCTGGGAGCAACTTGTGGGACTTGGTGGTGTCTATGGATGCTGGTGGGTGCTTGAGGGCTCCGTGGTAGCACAGGTACAGCAGTGGGCATCCAGTGCTGGGTGAGGGGCACTTGGTGAGGGAGGGAATAGTCTGCATGCCTCTCCCTGCCCACACGCTTCCCTTTTTCTCAGTTTCTCACTTCACTAAGCATGGGTTGCATTTATCCAAAGCATCGAGTGTGCTAAGAAGCAATTTCAGATGCTGCAGGTAGAAGCTGCAGCACGTTCTGCTGCTGGGGAGTGGTTCTACCACCAGCACAGCACCACAGCGCTGCATCGGGTGGGACTGCAACAGGTACAGATGTAAAGTCAATGCAGTGAAGAGGAAACACTCAGGAGAAGGCTGCTGCCAAGGTGATCTCTTTGATCCTCTTATAGAGTTTCCTGTATGTGAAGTGGCTCTGAGGTTGGCTTCTGATGGAATTTGTCTTTATCTGAAACAAGAGGAAGTTGAACCTGTGGTCTCTTTCACAAATCTTTTGATTCAGTCAAGTGGAATGTGGCTATTTTTTCATCTAGACTTGCATCTTTATTGTGTGTCTTGCAGCAGGGGACTGAGCTTTTCTTGTATTTTTAGTATGTATGAATTGAAAAGTAAGAAATGGAAATAATGCATCCATCTACAAAAGGTGCTTCACTCTTGTTAAGCCAGGACCAAGGAACTGCCACATGAGCTCTTAACCAGGAAACAACAATGCTTTGGTTATTAAAAACCAAAGTCTCATCAAACTGATACCAGTGCACAGACAGAAATATTGCAGAGGAGATAAACCTGGTGATTGTTACCTGCGGGTTGCATCCATTCACTGCCTTGTCTTAGGATGTGGTGTGTACACTGGATCCTGAGCTCAGACATTGCCTTTTGGGAAGCATTGCTGTGATGGTCTCCTGCTGTAGTGCAGTGCAGCTCTGCCTTCCTGCTGCAGGCTCTCTGCGTGTCACAGGTGGGCAGTGACATCCAGCAGCAGGCAGGAGGCAGACAACCCAGTGTGCATCTCCTGGCATCGTGGATGAGCTGCCCAGGGCTGCAGTGCCAATAGAGCAAAGCAGGCAGTGCTCACTTGAGAAAATCAGCTTCTGAAGGGATGTGTTTATAGAGTACATTTATGGAGAGGAATGGCAGTGTGTTTGTGAATGAAGCTTCTATGAAAGTCCACAGCCAGAAATGCAGGTGGTGTGAGCGTGTCTCAGGGCCAGCCAAGGTGCTCCTCTGCTGCTGGTGATCTCACACTCAAACTGGTAAAAGTGCAGAGCTGTAGAAGTAGTCTTGAACTACTGGGTGCAAAGTATAGCTCTAATGAAATGTGACAGCGTGGCTTTCACGTTGCCACATTCAATTCATCAATATGAAGAGGGCAAACGCTTTGACGGGAGGCCTGGGATGATGAATGGGCCTGGATATGCCTCATCACTTGTTGAAACTGCAACCACCTGCTGAGGCTTCATTAACTGCAGAGGTTGTTAGTGGGCACCCCATGAACTGTGGCTGTTGGGGGCTGCAGGCTGAGGCTTGCACAGAGCTACTGCACCAGGCAGGGTCCTCCCAGCTGTGGGCACACACTGCCCAAGGGTGGGTGGTGAGCTTCCCTCCAGCCCTGGGGACACGGATGGATCCTGAGTGCCAGGGCTGCCATTGGAGCTGAGAGCACATCTGTGCACTTCAGCACCGAAGCCATGAAGCACAGCGTAAGAAAATGTCACCACTTAATTTTCCCAAACCTTCACCCTCCCTTCTGAAAGGAATGCCGTCAGTTTAGGAGAAGTCAATTTAGAACAAAAGACCAATGAATGTGGTGGCTCTTCTTCTTTTGCAAGTTTAAGCACCTCATCTTTCCTCGGAGAACAGCTCTAAATCATTTTATTTGCAGGCCCTAAGCAGGAATTTGTATTCATGCTAAGACATTTATTGAGTTAATTTATTTAAGGCCGGGGCATAATTTCTAATAACGGAAGAGTCTCCAGGCCCAGTGAAATTGTCTCCCTGATAGGGCATTAATATTTTAAGGGATTATAATATCTGCCAATTGATCCATGCCTCTGGGAGCAGCCAGCAGTTACTGATGAGCGCCATCCCAGGGATGGCCTGCAGTTATGCTGTACCCCACACAGGGCTGAGTACAGCATACAGCTGCTGGACGTGGCACTGTGACCGATTCAAACCATGGCCCAGGTGCTTCACACAGGGAGCTCTGCAGGCCCAGGAGTATTTCACTGCCCAACTGAAATTCAGACTGCTGTATCCTTAAGATGAACGGTGGAGCTGTGCTCCTTGGGCTCCATCTGGTAGTTTTTATCCATCAGTGTGTCGTCCCTGACTCACAGGCTCTGGTAGCTCTGTCTTGGCTCCCTCCGTTGCCCACACTGCATCCTTCCACCCAACGAGGTTCTGCCCATCTCAGCACACAGACCGGCTCCTGGGAGGCAGAAGCATAGTAAGGATTCAGGCATAACAAAGCGATCCTTTCTCTTGCTTCTTTTGTCCTCTGAGAGGTCAGTGAGTCCCTCCTGCTTTCCCTCCTGGAGGGCTGGGCCAAGGCACGTAGCGACTGCTCGACTGCCTCACATTTGTTGCCTCATTGCCCTATGGGCAGCCTGCACTGCACGCAGCACTGCGGTGGAGCCCAGCCAACAAACCTCTGTCAGGGAAACTTTCCCCTTGACCTGGCTGTCAGTGATGACAGAGGAAAGCAAACCCAGGATTAAAACAGCACATCTGCACGTTTCTTATTTTAAGTTTGCCTGTTCGGTGTTTTTGAATCCCTTGGAAAGGGGAAGTGCAGGTGCTGGCTGTGTGGGCTTTGTGGCTGTAGCCCTCTGGTAAATTGGCTGAGCCTGGGTCAGATAAGGAATCATAGAATCATTTATGTTGGCAGGGACCTTTAGAGGTCATCTCTTCCAACTCCCTGCACTGAACGGGGATGCCAGCACTAATCAGGTGCTCAGAGCCCCATCCAGCCTCACCTTGAGTGCTCCAAGGATGGGGCATCCACTTCACCTCTGGGCACCCCATGCTTCTTCCTTTATATCCAGTCTAAATCTCTCCTCTTTTAGTTTTATATATTATACACTGTAAGAATAGTCAGAAACAAAGGATCTGATTTATTTTTTCTCTCTGTATTTGTTGATTTTATTTTTATGCTCCTCTAATTCCTTTTCTGTTGAAATGACATAATCTCATTATTTTCAAATTCTGCTCACATGAGAATCTTTCCATAGTAATTATCTTTTTTTTTTACCCCCATTTCCTCATCTGGCATACTCAGAACTGAGCTGAGTACTCAGTGAAGCCTCTCAGTAAACCACCTCTGCTTTATTTGCTTTTAATGTAAGAAGATCCTATAGCCTTTATCCATTTCTGTACGTAGATGGTCTGGAAGCGTGCACCATTTTGTGTCCCACGAGGGAGTTAATGTCATGCATGCTTGTCTTGGCTGATAGGAGCAAGAATAATTAAGTCTCACATAAAATACCTGCACACACACAATGGAGGAGACTAAGTGAGCAGAACTGCTGAGGTGGGAGGGACCGTATATATAGGGTTACAATTACTGGGTTGGCAAGTTGAGAGCAAAATCATAGAAAGCAACGTTGCTTGGCTGGTGATCTCTGTGCCTGTTAGGAGGGAAGATGAGCTTCTTGCACCCGGCCCTGGATCAGTGCCTGCAGTGAGGGGCAGGTTTCTTGAATGAATGAAACCAGTGCTCAGCAATAATTCCCCAACATGATGGAGCACGGGCAGCTGTGAGCTCACGGATCTGCAGCCATAGGAGACAGAAAATTGCAGGCAAGTTTACATTGCAGCTGGAGTTAAGATACCCAGTGCAGGAGGAAAATGTGCCTGGAGCAAGTTAAATTTCTGTATAAAACAAATTACTTAGAAATCTTATAGACATGGCATTTGTTTAGAGTAAATTAATTGACCAAACAGAAACCAAGCTTGACGTTCCAGAGGAAGAATTTATTCCACGTAAGTAAAACTCAGTATACTTCATTTTTATATAACTTAAGGCTTTCTGCATGTATTTGAAGGACTCTACCCTGCAAGCTGCAGGCAGACCTGTGTGCTGGGTGGGAGATGTGAGCAATGGCTGTCATTCCCGCAGCAGCTTGAAGGATCAGAGCATCTTTAAAACATAAATGCATTACCTGGGCATGGCTTTAACACTCTTAAATAAGGGCTGAACCCAATTTTATATTAACATTTCTTGTATCTTGCAGTTACCTCTGTCTTTCATTGGAATGAATAAGACAAGAACCAGACCTGCAGCATATGGTGTCATGTAAGTAACAAGAGAGCTTCCCTGCTCTCATACTGCCCTAAACTAACAGTACTATCTGTGAGATCAGTGTGTATAAAAGTCTGTGGCACTCCAAGTGCTAGCTCACAAAGCAGAGTCTATATACTATGTTGTGTTAGTGCAGCCAGGCCCTTGGGACAGCTGCCTTCTGGTGCAGCTCCTGCCCCATCCCCACTGTGTGATCCTGTGCATACACAGGGGCTGGTCCCACACAGCACCGAGCTCTGCCTCACACTGAAACACAGCAAGGGCTGCCTCAAGCAAGCAGGGTGTGTGCAGCAGCCTCAGCGAGGCCCTCGGTGGTGCTGCTGTTCCTGGAACTGAGAGGTCATTTTTCATGTGATGTCATGACAGTGGTGTGGATGGAAAGAATCCACTTTTTACCAATAGCAAAAGTTCACGGAAGTTCTTGAAATTTCTGTGGCTATGATGAAGTCACCTGTTTACCTGTCCGTGATTGCTGATAACCACTGAAGGCAAGTGAACAGCAAAAAGCAGGTTATGGAAGCTGGCATCTGCCTGGCACGTGCCTTGCTGAGCTGAGGCTAACAGCTTCAGCATGTGCCTCCTGCTGTTCCAGGCAGAAATTGGGCTGCTGGTGTTCTCCTTCATTTGTCCTGTTATCGGACAAGCAGGCTGAAATTTGAGTTCTTCAAACAGGGAAATCAAAGGGGAAGAAATTAAGTGTTTTGTTTAGAAAAAAAAACTGAAATGAATTTGAGATTTGGACAGAAGGCTAAAATAGGAAAGACTTCATGGCAGTGTGCTTTGTTAGCAGACTTGGAAGTCTTCTCACTGCCTTTAGTTAAAAAATATTAAAGCAAAAAAAAAATAAAATAATCAAAGTTAAAAATTCAGACAATTCATTTTGGTATTACCAGCTTGTGTGGTGCTGCTCCATGTCTCATCCCCTTTCCCTGCATCCACATCTGATGTTGCCTTTGGTCCTGACCAGCTGAGGGCTGAACTTATGTATCTGTTGACACACAACAGGACCTCACTAACTACTTAGTTCTGTAAAAATAAGGTTAATTCTGTATACGTTGATTTTTAGCATCAAATCTGTGAGGTTTCCAGTAGGAGTGGCTTGCAGAAATATGTGGCACATTGTCTTGTTTAATTTTTCTCTTCCTTGTAGTAGTTCCATGTTTTCTCCTGGCCTGACAAAAAAGATATTTAACATAGAATGACAGAACCATTTGAGCTGGGAGGTAACCTTACAGGTCATCTCGTCCAACTCCCTGCAATGAATAGGGACACGTACACTACATCAGGTGCTCAGAGCCCCATCCAGCCTGACCTTGAGTGTCTCCAAGGCCAGGGCATCCACCACTTCTCTGGGCAACATTAAAAAAAAAAAAAAAAAAAAAAAGGAAAAAAGAAATAATTTCAAGTTAACTCTAAATTTGAGGTACTTGACAGGCAAATCATTTTGAATGAACTGAAAATAAAACTTTCATGACTTGTCTGGCCAGTAAATTAAAATTTGAACAGCTGTCATAATCATCAAAATATACAGCTTGTTGGCTGCAGCTGTGCCAAGAGCAGGTTGTGCTATGAACCCTTCCATACAAAATTCCCTTCCCACCCACATCCCCAAACTAATTATTCAAGATCAGACAGCTGTCCATAATTCACAGTGGGCAGGGGAAGAAGTGCTATTTTTTTTTAAAGGCAGATTGTTAGGCTTCAGTCACTCAAACCTCTTCTAAATAAACTTGCTGACCTGGATGTAATATCTTGGCTTCTACAGAGCCTGTTAAATTTGATCCCAAAATCCACAGTGCTCTTCTTCTTTCATGGATTTATAATTGTACTTAGCAACTGCAATCACAGGAGTGGCCAAAGAAAGCTCGGCATGGGATGGAGCAGCGTCACGAAGCTGGAAACTCCCAGTGAGGGTGTCATGATGCTTTCCATCCCAATTCCCTCAGCCACTATTACTGCCTGCAGATCACTGACTCCTCCTGTGGGTCTGCTCTTGTAGCTGGTTTTTCAGATTCTTGCAACAGCTCCTTCTGCCTGGCTTTGGGATGTCATTTGCCCTGAGAATATCAGAGAATGTGCTGATCTTCTGCTCTGTGCAGTGAGGCACAGATGGGGCTTTCACCTGTGAAGTGGGAGGTAGTGTGGGCCTGTAGAGCTTTCTGTTTCCCTTGCTGTGTATCTGCTTGATGAGGAGTGGATCGCTGTGGGTGATGCTGACGGCAGTGCAAAGCTATCCGGGCTCCACCAGGTGTCAGTGTACACCTCTCTACTATCATATTTCTCCTTTTGGGTTTTCACTCTTAACAGCCTTCCAGATTAAAGGAATGCAGTAGAATTAAGGAACATAGAACTGAGTAATAGTGGAGGCTTATACATATGGTCTTGGCTGGTGTAAATAAGCATTATTTCATGAACTTCTATGGAAGCAGATGCAGGCTCAACTCCTGAGGAGTCTGCTTGCGTGTTTTGCTGTAATACTTGCATCTTTGAATAATTCCCTGTCAGTAGGAAGAGCATGGAGCTGGGTGAGCTGTTAAGTTCTCAAGGCTTTCTTTATTTCTGAGCATATGCAATAAACATATGCAATAAATGATTTTAGGTAACACTGGTGTTGGAAGCAAAGCTTTCACAACTACTGGTATTGCCTGCGCTGTGCTATTACATACAAAATGTCAAGATTTAACAGTGTCTAAGTTTCTTTTTCTGTTAAAAGTCCATTGTAATCCCTTACTAAATAGAGAAGCATAAATGCACAATCTTAAAACTGTTCCTTCCCAGCATACTGTAGTAATGAAGTTAGTAATCTCTGATGAAAGCTTCTGAACTATAAAAGCAGAATTGTAGTTCTGCTTCCTGATACAGTATAATTCTTAGGCTTCCACAAAAAGCACAGTCTCACAGTTTTGGCACTTCTCTCTCTATATTTCAGTACATAGCTGAAAACTGCGTTTGTGATATTCAGTTTTAGGCACAGATGTCACCCTTTTCTGGCCTTGTGAGTGCTCTGGCACATTGAGTTTCTAGCTCTCTTGGGTACTTACAGATCACTGCTTCCCAACTCTTGATATACTTGTCTTCACAGCTGTGTTTGGAAGGAGGAAAACAGGACTGTGGAGTTCATTCGGGTTTGTGGAAGCAGCAGTTAGAGATTTATCCAGGTTGGTTTGGTTTGTTTCAATCTGCTGTCTTTGCTAGATAGAAGTAACACACGTTGCAGTGTGCATTTCAGTTAACAAGAGCCATAAACAAGGCTTTACAGGAATGCTTTTTACTACATAAGAGGCCTCTGTGCATTAGTCATCAAAACAAATAGAATTTGACTTGTTTTTTTTTCAAAACAAGGTCTCAGTAACTGGGATAGACAGACAGAATGAAATTCAGAAACGGATGCACCAAAATGCTAGGAATTGCAACTCCTTTGCAAAATGGATGCCCATGAGGGTTGTCCATGAAGGGTTCCTCAGCTGAAATTTATCAGTTTTTATACTTAATCACATGCTGGTTTGTTAAATCACCCTTTCTTACTTTACTGCACTGATCCTTCTTTTCTCATCAAAATTGTGGTCTAATGCTGTGTGAACAGGTAGATGATTAATCTCTCTAGCCCTCTATGATTACATGGTCCTGAGGAGCTGTTGGGAACATCTGGAAACATCCAAACACCATGTTAGGACAAAAAGCGCAAAGACTTATTAGGAATTCAGATGTTAGGCAGATATGAGAGCATATTTTACTTTGAAATATATCCTGCCTTTCTCCAGTGGGACTCTTGTTGTATGGCCCTGCATTCGTGGTGCTTTGAACGTTCAGGTATTGTCACTGGCTGTGTATAGACAAAGATGTCCCTGCTGCCTGGTGCACGACTGTTCCACTGCACCAGAGCTGTACAGTTAGCTGAGAAGGCACAGTGTCCTCTGGGCTGTTTTGAGCTGCTGCAGAAAGACTCTAACCCAAGCAGGAAAATTCCCAACCCGTGGGTTACTATGGAGTAGCCACGTTTGAAGTTGAAGTGCTCATTCACAGTTGTGCAAGTCAGGGCTCAGGGACTGATGATTCGTACAGCCATTCCCAATTTGTGACAGTCTGACGGAGAGGAAAACTTACATGTAAGAATGATGTTGCTTTGCCACTACCTGTAGGAAAACTGATACATTGAGGTACACTTTGAACAGTCTAGTGGTCAAGCAGTGTTGTATTTCCAGCTCAAACTAGTGATGGTCCAGTGGCAGTTCCCCCTTGGCAGCTGTGCCTTCATTACCCTGTTGCAGCAGCAGCTTGCTGTGAGAGCACACAGTTGTGTGGCAGTTATCCATACCCCCAATAAAGGTGTGCAGTTGATGCAGCCTTTCAGGCAGAGAGCAGGGATGCAGAGCAGAGCATGGACAGAGTTGCCCATTGTGGCACAATCATGAGCCTGTGGGAGTTCCAGGCCAGAATCCAGGAGTTGGTTCCACTCCCAGAAAGGTCAACGAAACCCATTTGAAGTAGAATGATTTCATCCAGTGCTGCATGCTGAGTGACTCACCAATGCTACTACTAATAGCATGGGCTGCTTCGGGTACAAGCTAATGGAGTGCAACAGTGGTAACCAAAGTCTGGTGAGCTTGCAAAAGGACTTTTGGAACGGAGTATCTTTTATGAGGGAAGTGCAAACATAGCATGGTTTGAGCTAGATGGAAAAAGCAGGTGTCACTGTGTGTTGAGGATGTTAAACATTTTGCTGTGTGGGATTCTGACTCTGTGCAGCACTTCTTTTCCAGCCCCTTCACCTAAAATAGAATCATAGAATTGCTCAGATTGGAAAAGACCTTAAAGATCATCAAGTCCAACCGCAACCCAACCATACTACCCTAACTCTAACAGCCCTCCACTAAATCATGTTCCTAAGCAAATAGTTTTCCTTAAATCACAAAAATCTCCTTTTCTTTCACAGAAGAGCAGAGCAAATACTGAAATAATCTCCGGAGATGTTCTGCAGATATTTCTGCTTCTTCAGTCTGTGTCTTTTCCTTCAAACACAAAGGCAAGTAGAGCGTTTGTTTTGCTTTACAGGTCATATGAATTACAATTAACATAAGTAATGTGGATCAAAAGGAAACAATGCTTCCAGTTTTACAGCTCACTCATAGGAAGTTGGGTGCATTAAGGGGTCAGGCAGAGGGAGCAACCTGCACAGGTTCCCAAAATATAATGTACATTGATAATGCAAGCTCTTTTTCTCTGTTCAAGAGCAGGAAATTGTGGTGGTTTTGCTCAGTGTCCTCTTCCACCCCATTTCTTCCAGCTGTTACTGCCATCCCTGACTGCAGTCAAGTTCTAAAGGCTCTAATATAGCTAATGCTGCACAATAACTACTCAGTTCTGCTGTAAGCTTCTTTTTGATCTAAAATCTTCAGCAAGCGTCCAAGGACTATTAACCCAGCTTTAAAGGACAGGCCAGCAGTCCTGAGTCTCTGGAGAGAGGCAGCACCTCCTTCAGCCCTTCACAGAGCAGTATCAAACTCATAATGGCTCACTCACATTTTCATCAAGTGAACACCTGCCTCCACAAGCACACTGCACCATGGCACCTTTTTTATGGCCTCCAAACTCTGTAGCTTTCTATTTACAGGATGGCACAGCTCTGGGAACCTCACAGTGCCACGTATCTGCTGTATCTTCAGTACAGAAAATGTTAATTTTGATATGTAGTGGTAATTTGGAGTGGTAGTCCTGCTCACGGTGCTGCCTTGCTGTCTGTGAAGAGCTCACTGTTTTACCTCTCCACTTCTTGGCATTCTTAGAGGCTTCACTCTGGCAGCTGTTGGGATGCTGCCCAATGCTAACAAATAAGGATGAAAGCTTGCTTATGGGAATGATGATTAAGAAGGAGGAGCTGTTGGGCAGTAAGATTTGTCCTGGGTTATATTGTATGTAGGAGGAAAAAGGTTCCTTGTATACATTTTATGAGGAGGAATGAGAAGGGGAGATTGCAGGTTACTATTAAGCTTTGTGATATATTGCCCTTGCTTGATTTGCCTTTTAAGAATGTCCTTAAGCCACTGTCTGGAAACCAGAGATTATTTGTTCAGGCTATTTGCTGTATTCCCACCCCTCTAAGGTATTAATTATTCAGCCAAGGTAAGCAGTGTCAGTAAATGTTCATTATTTCAATGATGTACTTTTTTAAATAAATATTTTAAGTAATTTGCTTCTTTGAACACAGGCTGGGGATGCAGCTGCACACCTGATGTGCCCAGCATGCCTGGCCACATACTTAGCAGTACATTATTTGTGTCCTCAGGAAATGCTCACTTGGACATGTGTCCAGTTTGGGTGGCAGTGACGCAACATCCCTCCCTGGATTTAAGAACCTCACGATGGGATACAACAAATACCTCAGGCCCTACTTTGGTGGTACGTTGGCTCTGTGCATTTCACTATTCAAAGAACAGTCTGTAATGCTTGTGTAGAGTGGTGAGCATGCTTTAAGCTTTCAAAAGCATGCCCCAGCTTAAAAGGTTGTGCTCTTTTAAAATTAGCTAGTAGCCAAGGCTGCTCTCCTTTCTGTGCATCCAGTTACCTTGAATGTGTTGTGCACACATGCATACATGGGGCAGGAGAATGTGTCCATCTATGAAGGTGAGGGAATTTACAAACTTCAACATCTCTATGAAAGATCTGACAATAATTAAAGTCTGCTGTAATCATGTATGTTTTTGTTTAGAGCCTTACCCATGTGATTTTCTGCTTTATTTTTGTTTGTCAGTTTACTCAGACAGTGGACATAGACGAATTCTCCTTTCCAGAAATATTGGCTTCTGGCACATGCATTCCTGTCACTCTGAGACAAAAACTAAATCTCCTTTAAACCCCTTGTGAAGCTCCAGAGAGACAGCATCTGAGGGGCAGTCAGTTACTTAGGAACTCACCTGAGGCTACTGTCAGCTGTCAGGTCTCCCACCTCCTAGGACCTCTTGCAACCTCTTGGAGGGAAAGGGTTTCGAGACGACATTCAGCACCTGAAAAATAATGATGAAAGCTTACAAAATACTGTGAACATTTTTTATAAACTTTGCTTGTCTTCCAGTACTCATTACCACAACAAAGCCTACTAGAAAACTTACCTATCAGCTTTCTCCAGGAGTTGCACATTTCTCCGTTGCAGCTCCTGCAGACTGACTTCCTGCTCTTTGCAGCTTTGAGTTTCTTCCTTTTTCTGACCATGGTGGTACATTTCTAGACAACACGGCATTTAGCAGCTTGTTATGCACAAAATGTCTCACGCAGGAACAGAACAGCTCTGCTAGAGCCTGTCACATAAGCAAACTGAAGCTTCCAAATTGCATAACAGACACATTATACCAGACTATGCCATCTAGAGCTATGCGATACAAACGGTCAGGTTCAGGTTTGACCTCCTCCAGAGTTTTAGGTGTTTAACAATGAAGGAAGGATGTAAATGGCAGCTATATTAAAATATATATATACATATTTTATGCAAATGACATATTTTTTTGATTTGGAACATTTCAGAAACAAACAAAAGAACTATAACAGCAACAACACAAAACCCTCTAAATCAGAAAGAAATTCAGAAAGTGTCCTATAGACTTTCCTGCATGTGATTAAGAGATGAGGAAAAGCAGTTAGAGCAAGTCCCACGCAGAAAGGCATTGCTGTGTTACCACAGGGGCCGAAGGCAGTGCACCAAGCCATGCTCTGAGCAGGACATCCATCCGTGTGCATCAGCTGCCCTCTGGTGGTGGATTTCAAGAGTTGAGGATAGGAAGTAGACAACCAGAATTCAGGACTACCTGTGACACTGTGTCTGCTGGTCCTTCTGGTTTCTGCAGTTTCAGAGAGCACGGTGTGCTGGGGTAGCTGGGAGCAGTGCCTGTGCTGGGCAGCGGATTTACTGCACCTTACATTCTCTTTCCTTCCACAGGAGAACCTGTTCAAATTGCAATGAGCCTGGACATTGCAAGTATTTCTAGTATATCTGAGAGTGACATGGTAAGTGAATTATTTTGCATAAGAGAGAATAGAATCTGCTTGAGAGACTTTTCATGTTACCTTGTGGTCAGCACCGAAACTGTTCTATTCAAGCTGCTTTGCTTTTAGTTGTGACCACCTCTCGGGGGTGTGAGGAGAACTGGGCTCTCCTACAGCTGCAGGTTATGTGGATGCCATAGAAATATGGGCTTGTTAGTGAAGAGATGGCCCTGCTGGTTTAAAAAAAAAAAAAAGTCTAAAAACAAAAATCATCTTAGAGTGTATGTGGGAAACATAATCAAACTGTGATGACCTGTTGGTTCTACTGCATGCATTTGGAGCTCAGCTTTGATGGGTTAAACAAACGCATTGTGCCTTGTCACACGTGGCATGTGCCTACAGTTGATGGCATGCAGGTGTTCTGGACGTGCATCCCCTGCTTCTTCTTCTTCCCAGGATTACACAGCCACCATCTACCTGCGGCAGCGCTGGACAGACCCACGCTTAGTCTTTCATGGCAACAAGAGCTTCACGCTGGATGCTCGTCTAGTGGAATTGCTCTGGGTACCAGACACGTACATCGTGGAGTCAAAAAGGTCCTTCCTGCATGATGTCACTGTGGGGAACCGCCTCATCAGATTGTTCTCTAATGGCACTATCTTGTACGCCTTAAGGTAAACCAACCTTTGGCTTCCCCGATGACGGTGGTTAGAACAGATCTCCAGAATTATGCAGAGATTAAGGAGCATCAGGGAACATGAGCAGGAGATCCTGGTGGAGCAACTCCCTGCCATACCTGTGAGAAAGGCACTGGGGTGATACACTCCTAATAGTGGTGGACCCTGCCCTGTTGCCGTTGGACAGATGGAGGGGACCAAATTCTTTACGCAGAGTGGTGAGGTGCTGGAGAGCCCAGAGAGGCTATGGATGCCTCGTGCCTGGAGATGTGCAAGGCCAGGCTGGATGGGGCCCTGGGCAGCCTGGTCTAATGGCTGGCAACACTGCCCATGGCAGGAGGGTCAGAACTTACATGATCTTTAAGGCCTACTCCAATCTAAGCCATTCTATGATGAAATTGTTTGCTAATCTGATGCCACTTAGCTGTGATTTCTTCTCTTTAGCAAGAAGTGTTTGTGTACGTGTACTGTGGAAATGTATGTTGTAACTGTGTGAGGTCTTAGTGTTATCTCTTCCCAGTTTAACATAACTGCCAGTGACTTCAGCTTATAGCAGCTTTACTTGCAGTGAATTCATTTACCCTCTGCACTGAAGCAAGCCAGGGTGTGCATGCAGTTAGTTACTGTGCCTCAGGTGGCAAGGGGTAACTTCTTTGTAGGTGCTAACAGTAGCAATGGAAGCATTTGAATCTACATTGCATCTCCTACTCACAGCAGGGCAAAATTCCTCTTTTGGTTACATTTTCATCAGTATGGCTGCAGAGAGTGTATCTTAAGGAGGGTTCTTTCTGATTATAGCAGCTCCTTCATTTTATAGATCAAAATGACTTAAATGACAAATCAGAATCCTTGCAGTGGTCTTCTCTGCTATGTAGAAATAGTACAGGAGAAAGGCAGAAATACTGCATTATATGTTTTTATTGTGATTTTTGGAGTTCTTTCTCCTACAGAATTACTACTACTGTTGCTTGTAACATGGACCTGTCAAAGTATCCCATGGACACACAGACATGCAGACTGCAGCTAGAGAGCTGTAAGTATAACAAAACCTGGCTGGATGTTTGTTTGTTCCTACTGAATATGCATCTTAAATATCTGCATTTATCACAGTGAGCTCCTGAAGTAGCAAATATTAATGTCCAAAAGAAAACAACTTTCTTTCGTTATTCTTCAAATGTTTGTGCTGTAACCTACAGATTAGAGGACTTTTGCCACTGCAATTAAAATAAAAGTGGTAACAAATCCTATCTTTATCAAGGAGTAAATTGTTCAGTTTTATATAGAAATAATTTAATACTAGTTGCTGGTTTTCCAAATGTGGTCCCTTTCTGCACAACTTCCCACATTGCTTCTGAAACCTGCTGTACCTCCCAAACCTGCCCAGCCTTCTCTGTGAGGGTCGCCTGTTACAGTAATGGAGATGGTGAGACCCTTATCAGCAGGAGGAGTCTCAGCCTTGCAGATCTCAAGAAAAGGAATCGTCAGTGAGTTTTGCTCTTAAATTAAATGTTCATCTGTGGCAAAGTTGGCTAAGAACTCTAAGAACAGGTAAATGCTCAAAGAAAACCTGGGATACTACAGGGCTTTTCCCAGGAGCTCAACAAGAGCAGTACTGCTGTTATGGATCTGTGAAGCTCTGCAACAAGCAAGCAACTTCCTCCCACTTTGTGTCACAAAAGGAAATGCTTGAAATCTCAGTGCTGAAAAGAGCACATTAAATTTCTGGGGCTGCAGCGTGAAGCACCTAAGGAAGCACATATTACTTTCACATTAAAATCATATTAGTTCACCGTGGTTAACTTTATTACAAAGAATAGCTCCTGAAATAATAATGATTGCCCTCTTCTGCTAAAGAATAGCTTGTTTGGGTCTGCTTTAAACGTGATTGGGTCCTACATCATGCTGCATAATTCCAATGAAATTACATGCACATTGCCCACTGGAGGCTTCGCTAGGATAAGTGCCCAGAAATAATGCTGTTTAAACATTTGCCAGATGAATTAACAACAGTTTATCATTTATTATAAAATTTTCCTTATTAATCACAATTTATAAAACTGTTTAGAAATTTTCAGCAGTCACGTGCTTATGATTCTACATAGGGATTCATACCCTGGACACATACTGTATGAGTTCATCACACTCAAGCTCTGGTAATTTGTATCTAATTAAAAAAAAAAACAAAATAAAACACCACAATTAGGTAAAAGTAGAACTGCAACTGCATCTTATTCCTTCTACGAGGATGAACAGGTCGTTATCAGTATGAAGGCATCCCTACTCATTTTCCTGTAGAAGGGCACTTAAAAAAAGAATCAAGTCAGTGAGATTGATAGGCTTTTTTCCTCAATTAAGTGTAAAATGTTGAAGTGAATGGCTAGCTGATGCCTGAGTACAAGCTTCATCCCTCAGACTGGAGTATGGGATGAAGTAACCTGACATTGTGTGATGCCATCGCTTATGTTCCTGGAGCAATTTTGCAGCCAGTGCATGTATGTATGTAGGCTGTTCTGATAAGAACACGGACTGTTAATCTCATCTATCCCAGTGTTTTGGAGCAGGAATTCAGTGTTACCTAAGCACTAAATACATTTACTTGTAAAGAGACCTGGGCAACACGTAGTCAGAAGAGCCTGGTTTATAACTGCGTGAGAGTCTGAGCTCCACACTCTCAAATAAGAACACCTTTTCTGATATTCTGAAGCAGTTGAATAGATGGGCCAGAGCAATGTGCTTCTTCAACCTGGTAGGGGGCTCAATGCGATCTGTACTCTGTTTTAGTTTTAGGTTTTTTTAACTGTTGCAATCCTCTGCTCACCTTATGTGACCAAAAGGATTATGCTCAAGGCTTGAGATCGCTGCAGTAGTTTTATCCTGCTCTGGGCAATCGATCTGGGGATGCCACGAATGTTAAATAATCTTTAACAACGTTAAAATAATTTAAAATACACAACGAAGATGTCTGAAACGGGTTCTCTGCACTCTTTCATGTTGTGCATCACTCACAATGATGTGTGTTCCTAAGTCAAATCAAAACCAGCAGACTGAAAACACACAAGCAAAAGGAAGAGCCAGCGTCCACCAATAGCTGATGCAGTGAGAGGGTCTTTGTGCAGCCTACAATGTGGAGGTGACGTTTCTGCTCCCACCCAATGGGGAAGGCAGAGCAACAGCTGGGCATTATTGGGTGACCGCAGTAATACCAGTCTTTGTTCTCTGTAGGGGGATATGATGAAAATGATGTCATCTTCACGTGGCTGAGAGGAAATGACTCTGTCCACGGCATAGAAAAGTTGCGGCTCTCTCAGTACACAGTGGAACGTTACTACACCCTCATCTCAAAGTCACAGCAGGAAACGGGTAAAGCAGTGAAGGAGAAAAGCCAGAAAAACCCTAAATATCTCCCCTCTCATCTCCCCTCTCTTCTACAGACTACTGCAGTTTGACTCAAGAAACCTCAAGCAAAACTTAATTGTACAAAGAGATGGGAAGAAAGTGAAATCCAGTTCACTGCAATCAGGATATTCTGTGGGATGGAAAGATGAATCTTTTAATATTTTACATTCA